CCCTTAAACTTACCTCTTAATCTCACCTCCTGACCCCCTGTATCGTGGCTAGTACTACTGCGCTGCCAAAAATTTATCAGATAAAATATATATCAACAAAAATTTTGTTCTATCTTTAAAATACCGAATAACCCTGGAATCGAAACTATCCTGTAGTCGCGGTCACCAATAAAACAATCCATATTTCATAATAAAACGATCCAAATAAAACAATCCATATTTCATAATAAAACGATCCATATTTATTCATTAAAAAACAACAATCTAATACCTATACATTTAATATATATAATATTATAAATCATAATTATCCAATTCTTCATTCCCCAAAGGTCCATTCTTTGTTCCTCGCTGACATCTTCTCCCATTAATCCAATTCTTCATCCCAAATCTCCAATAAAAGACTTTGCTTTAACAATAAAACCCCATGTGATCTTCTCTTACTTCTTCTCCACCAAGGAAAACTTAAATCCCCTGTCAGAAAATAACTGACATTTGATGTATTAAATTAAATTAAATTTATTTCTTTTTTTTTAACAGCTACAACAGTTTACAAAACATATTTTTACCTATTTACTTTAAAAAAATTCAAAAAAGTTCAAGAATAACGATTATGACAATTGTCACTTTTCTATGGTACATCTTTACTGAAATTTTAATTTTATAATTTTACAATATATATTTTTAGCTATTTATTTTAAAAAAATTCTAAAAAGTACAAAAATAACGATTATGACCATTGTCACTTTTCTATGTACATCTTAACTGAAATTTTAATATAACATGTTTGCAAAACATATTTTTATCTAAACAGAAAAAAGTACTATTTTAAAAATCCTTTAAAAAAATATATATTCAAAAATATTTACGATCAAAAGATATACCAGAAAAAAAGTACGTAAATAAAATATTTACGATCAAAATGTATCAGATAAAAAGTACCTAAAAAATTAATATATAAAAAATCATTTAAAAAATTTATTTTTAAAAAAATTATCAATCAAAAAATATATTAAAAATTATAATATAACAAATTAAAAAAAATTATTCAAATAAATATATTTAAAATCCTTTAATAAAAATATATTCAAAAATATTTACGATCAAAAGATGTATCAGAAAAAAGTACGTAAAAGATTAATATATAAAAATATTTATATAAAATCTCAAAAAAATATATTTAAAACATTGACAATCTTAAAAATATTACTTAACTTATAAATAATAAATTCCTCTCTTAAATTAATATCAATTAAATAATAAATTAATCTCTCAAATAAATTATAAATTTATTAATTTGTAAAATAAAATATATTGTCTAAAAAAACCAGGCAATGTACACATTGCCTAAATAATTAATTCACCCTGCCTACCACCATAACACATTGCCTAAAATAATCAGGCAATGTGTACATTGCCGAAAATAACACATTGACTTTAATATTATATTTTCCTATCAGATTTTTCTATAACAAATAATAAATTTATACACACTTATTTTTGAAATAACTTTACCTAATAAATTTGTATAGGATTTGAAAATAATATTAGTTATGATAAAAGTTTGCGGTAATAACCTAAACGTTTTCATATTTTGCATCAATACAGTGTCCAGTATCTACTAAAAATAAATATCTAAATTATAAAAAAAAAAAATTATATCAAAAATATTTATATCATATCTTACTTCTTATATTTATGGCATCTATTCCTCCACAACTTCCACTTTTATTTCATATCAATTACATTTCTTATTACTATGAAACCATAAAAAAGGTAAAATTAGAATTAAGATAAATTTATTAAGAAAAATAAAATTAGATTACATGATAATTCTCAAAATATATATATTAAGAAAATTAAACTATAACAATTCAAGCAGTTTTGAGAAGCATAAAAAAAAGTTATAGTAAAATAAAAACTATGTCAAGATTTAAGTGCCAAGTGAGTCAAACTAATGGAAAGGGATTAATTTTGAAACTTATACCAAAGATTAATAGATAGTGCTTATATTTTATTGCTTTAATTTGTGAGACCTGCAGGCCTGGCCATAAGCACGGGTATTTTAAATATACCCGGGCAGGGCCTAAAATTTACTCTAAAAAATACCAGGGCCGGGACTATATTTTAAAACCAAATATTTTAAATCGCCATTATTAACTATAAAAATAAATATAATATTTTAAAAAAACCAGAGCAGAACCTGAAAACATAAAACCAGGGTCGAGCCGGGCCGAAAAAAATTTTGGAAAAAAATCCGGGTGTACATTTTAGCTTAATGCTTCATTGGTAAACAGTATAAATTAAAGTGTCAAGATTCATGGAACAAAAAATATAAAATCCCCAACAAGAAAATTTAATAAGCGATATATAATATAATTTTTTTTTGCCATCATTATAACAGATCAACTTTTTATTAAAATATGACTTCCCTGACTGTAACTTTGATATTTTTAAAATTTAATAGTAGTAGTAGTATTAAAAATAGTTAAATAGATTTGAAAATGTGCTAATAAAATGAAAAAATTTATAATAGATAATTTTGCCGCAAATGCTAAGGTCAAGCGATAGGGTTAGCCAAAATAAATTTGATTTAAATCACCTCGATTTTTTAAAAAAAAATCAGTGACTTAAATCGAGATTTTTAATAAAATTAATTTAATCAAAATACTTAATATATGGAAGGCAAAGACTTAGATTATTTTAGAATTAAATAATTTTTATATGAAAAATAACTAAATTGTACTAGTAATCTTTACTTATTAGAAAAAAAAACTTGATTTATTTTGTATTTCATTGTTTAATTAATTGCTAATTGTATAATTCTAATCTCAATGTAGTGAGAAATTATTTAATATTCTAAAAAAATAAATTAGTTTGTTAAATTCTGGGCTGTGAACCGTACCTTCTAGGTTCTGGTTCAGTGAAATACGGGTTCAAGGTCTTTAGTCCAGAAAAATAAAGACTTATAAAATTTAGTAAAAATAAGAGAAACGTCTAATATATTTAGCATTTACCATAAAAATTTTTTTATCATTATAATTAGAATAATACAATACAATTTAAAAAATATTCTGTTTTTTAAATTTTATAAGAGAATTATCATAATATCTTCCAAAATCTAGATGTTAAAATTAAAGGATCAATTTTTTATGCCTAACTTTGACAGTGCAATTGCAACATCTCATGTAATCGACATTAGTATTTGAATTTAATTGTTTAAAAGAAAACGTTTTCCTAAACGATTCCTAAGTTTGGAATATATATACCCCATATGATGAAAATACTCTCTACTGAAGCTGTGATTGTTTTACTATGAATTAAATGGCCCTACTAACTATCATTCATATTTTATTTATTTCATCGGTAAACATAATTTTATTAAACGGGTCAGATATTGCGTGGAATTCTACCATGATTGGATAAGAGATTGGTTGAAGATATAAAATTAGTCATGTTCCCTTGCCATTTCAGTGTCATTATTTGGTAAATTTGAAACATATTTAGGGGGTTAGAAGATAGGATAAGTAATGGGTGGATGAAACTATTCTAATAATGTTGATTTTCAGGATAGTGGGTTATAAAAACAACAATATAATAATAATTAATTAATAAACTAATCTAATTTTGATATAATTAATCTTTTTCAAAATTTTGTCAGATAACCAAACATTTTAGAAATGATTAGCTTGCTTATTTGATTTGTGCAATATTTTTTTTTATAAACAATGATTTATCTAAAGAAAAAAGGTTTAAACCGTATTTATCATAATATCATTTAAAACTAGCCTCTATCAGAAAAGAGCAATTAACGAATATTTTAAATTTGGCCAATGCATCAGGGCACCCAATTGGGAAATAACAGTAGTTAATTTAAAATAATAAAACCACCCTTATTTTATTAGTCAAAAAAATAAAATTTTAAATTTGGTTTAACAGTTTTATTTGAGGATATTCATAATCCTATTAGTTTTAGAAAATGAATAATTTTCCTTCTGACTTTGTGATATCGGCTAGTTAATTTTTTTAAACAGCTTGCACATATCATCGATTTTTGAGTGACAGTCGGTTTATTATTATTTGTCAAAATATCAAATTTCATGACTTGTCAATATATTTTTCAATAATTTCCTGACCGTATGTCTCATTAACTTTTTACTTATGATGAAATATTAATGGTAAATTTTTTTATAATGTATGATATTTTTAAATCTAAATTTTGCCTAAACATATTTTTTAATGGGGGGGGGGGGTGGAAAGTCTACTCCGCTATCTTTAAGTCAAAATTTAACACTTATATTACCCTAAAAGTTTGTAGATAAAGGAGATATAAAAAATTTTATAAAAAAGAAGTGAATATTCACATAGAAATAAAACAAGAAAATTTTTTATTGTAAGAAAAAAGTCAAAACATGTTTAAAAAAACTTGCAATACACAATTTAAAATATGCATAACATTTGTTTTATTATTATAATATGGTATGAGTATACTTATAAACTTTGGAAGTTACAATTATTAATGAATATACTAAAATACAATTAAGTAAAGGATATATTTTGAATAATATGATTATATAAGGCAATGTAGGATAAATTGAACAAAATTGATAGTAGTTAAAGTTACAAGCAGTATAATAATTAACTAAGGTCCTGAACAATAAATACAATTCTAATTACGAGTATTTGGTATAAGAAACCATTTTTCTCTGCAATTTTGTAAAAAATAGGAGACATGTTTAAAATTAGATTTTAAACAATAATTTTGGTGTATGAGAAAAATAAAAAAAATTGTATAATGCCACAAAATGTATTATGCATTTTTAAAGAATAAAATCACAAGTGATCATATATAATATATAAATATAATTTTAAAAAAAATGACTAGAAATATATTATCTTTGTTTAATATTAATATATTATTTTTTTTAATTATTAAAATTTGAAATTTATAAACAAACATAGCATACAATCTAAATCAGCCATTAACAGTATAATAACTAAATTACATATTAAAGGTAAACCTTTGAAAATAAAATCAATCTATATATACTCATTTACCTTTATAAAAATACTTAAATAATCCATATATAATTCTATTAGGTTAAAAAAATACCCTAAATAATAAAACTAACTTTACACGTCTTGAACGTCTTTACGTCTTCGCAAATCTCATAATATATTATATTACATGTGAAGAATAACGAGATTTATATTATTTTTTATAATATTAATAAAAACACTATATAAAAAAGGTGCTTTTTAAATCTTATTAAATATCTTCTTTATTCATTGGCAACGAAGAGGTAGAAGTATTATCATCAGACCTTGGTTTATTGATACCGAGCGTGACAAACCGACTGGAGGCCATTTTAGGTGTCAACGAAATTTGAGAAGTAGGTATCTCTGAGCTGGAAAAAACCTTTTCCGATTCGTTGGGGCTTCCATCGAAATGTTTGGTGGCGTGCACGTTTGAACCGCCGGGGTAGGTTAGAGGTAAGTTGGAAGGGAAATGTCGATGGTGCATATCTTGGGCGGACACAGATTTATGGCGAGAACTAGGTTAATAACACATAATATAAATGGCTTGGGTATTAAAATTAAGGGTAATTAAGGAAGCCGGCTCCTCTTTTTAAATTTACAAAATAAAAAATTATATTACAACTAAATTGAGCAAAAAAAGAAATTCACAAAAAAAATTCAAAAAATTGAAAGAAGCACTAAGTTTTCAGGAGGATTGAGCCCTTTAATGCCCCTCACCTAACGATGTCTATGAAGGTTATTAGGACAAAAAAATCATTAAATAATTGTCCAAAATGATTAATCAATTATTTTATTACTCTATCATATCCTTGCTATCTGCAGATTCGTCCGATTTTAGAGGTTCGTACCTTTTTCTGTTCCAAGAATCAGAATTTTCGTCTTCCTCGCTAATATAATTATCATGTTCATTTTTTGTATAATTGTCAACATTACTATAATGATGACTAAAATGATCAGAATCTCCATCTTTTTTATTTGTGTCATTTGAGGGCTCCTCATTACCATTACTTTTGTTGTAACCTTGCAATTGTCTTTGCACAAGGTGAGTATAGACACCTCCTCTAGCTAACAGCTTGCTATGAGTACCTTGTTCAACTACTTCGCCATTCTCCAAGACTATGATTCTATTGGCCTATTAGTTTATTTTAAATGAGGTAAATTAGGAAGGTTTTTATTTTTTTAAATTAATGTTTTTTTGTCACTCCTTTTTATTTTTGATTCATAGAATTCTAATGGTAACAAAAGGTTTATTTTTTTTACCCTATTATAATAATTAATGAATACATTTTACAGTTTAAAATGTATAAGGAGATATAAATATATACGATAATGCCTAACCCTGGCGGATAGAATAATATAACTTACAGATTGAACTGTACTGAGCCTATGGGCAATAATAAGCACAGTTTTTCCTTTCAAATTTTTAGTAATTGCTTCTTGAACTAAATATTCGGATTCCGCGTCTAATGCCGAAGTGGCTTCGTCTAGTAAAAGGATTGTGGGGTCTCTCACCAAGGCTCTGGCTAAGGCTATGCGTTGCTTTTGGCCTCCTTTAAAAAATATTTTATATAATAATAATAATTAAAATAAGGAGGAATATAAAATTCTTATAAAAAAAATAAGATTTCACAAATTATTGCAATATATAAACGAATAAATTCTGACACTTTATTAAAAATAAAAAAATCTTTATCATTGGGAAAGCAAGGGGTGGGTATTATTTTCTGATCGATTGATGATAAAAATATTTAGCAGAATAAATAAAATTCTTTAGCCAAGAGTAACGAAAGTTCATAAAAATATGATGAGTCACCACTCTATTCTATATAATATAAAACGCCATTTTTCCGATTTTTATAATAATTCATTAATCAGGTAAAGGGAAGTGTCAACTTTAAAAAGAACAAATTAAAACAAAAGGTAGAATACCAGATAATTGTGAACCCTTCTCTCCTATATCGACGCCATACCCACCCATGGGGCCACATATGAACTGATGGGCATTGGAAAGTTTGGCTGCCTCGACTAATTTCGGGTCTTCGCCAGATTCCTCATCTTGCTGTAGGCCAGTTCCTTCGCCGATCACTATACCTTTAAAAAAAAGTAGGAAGTTAGGAGTTGTAATGATACTTTATTTTAAAAACAATTCTCTGGAATTTATTATAATTTAATTATATATATAACTTAGTAATTTTAAAACCATTTTATTAAGAACAAATTTAAAAATATAAAAAATTATAACATATTCAAAAAATTACCAATAATCATTATATGAAATACCTATGGGATTAACTTCCAATTGTTTTGGTCCTCCGTCAATCCTTCCATTTGACGCCGGACTCTTATAAGGGCAACAACTGTAGTAACACAACCATTTACGGTATTCGGAAGATATACGCGATTTGGATGTATTAAGAAGTGATTGGAGGGATGTGTTGTATCTGGGATCAGAAAATATACCGCCTAAACGGCTCGACAGTAGTTTTTCTCTGGCGTTTATGGTATTCAAAGTGATCGGAATAGGTTCAGAGGCTTCGATATTATTATCATTAATAGGGGTTTTCTTGCCTTAGACAAAAAATAAAAATGTTTATATATTGTTAATTTAAATTTATTATAAAAAAGCATCATATTATACCACTAGGGCAACCCTTTTTGATTAAAAATAGTGAAAACTGGAATTTTTATTGCATATTAAAATATAGTATCAGGTAAAAATTTGAATAAGCCAATTTTTATTTTAAATTAAAATGTGGCAAATTATTTTTAGAAAATATCGTGCAACAAAGTATAAAGAAATTACATTATATTAATGGGGGCCCTGTCTACTTCTGCCCGGCATTCGGCCGGGTTTTATATTAATATATTATACTTTTTTAAAATTTGCTAACCCTTAATAATTATTCTGAATTACATATTTTGTCATTTATTATACAAGACATTTCTAAAAAAAATATTTTTTAATACAAAATCTATTTATTATATAGTATAAAATATTTCGATTGCTGATATAAAAAAATTTTGCGTCTAAAGAATTAGAAGTGATAAAAAGGTTAATTAATTCATATATATTCCTCAATTTATAATGGTTTTTAAAATAATATAATTCTTAGCAACTTACATTGACAAAAGATCATGAAACTAATATAACTCTCTGTTACCATTTTAGACTATGTTTTATAGAATGGACTAATAAGGAAAATTTATAGGCCTAACCAAATCAACAATTCTTGAAGAAGAGAATATAACGACCAATCCAAATCATAAAACTATATGGTGGTTAAAGCTTCCTCTTAGATGATATGATGGAAGCTAGATAAGAAATCGAGAAAATTATTGTAAGACATAATTTCTAAAAGATTATTTTCCATTTTTAATAATATATAAACGACTACACGGTTGACCATTATTACTTATCTAAAATTTGCAATCATATGCTCTGCAGCTGTAGTAATAATCTTAACTTACATTGCCACACAAATAATATATGCTAGTTAATTTGCAGTCATAGCCATGACACTCACAATGTTAACTTATATCATAATTTATTATGTTAGATATATTGATAAAACAAAAACTCTAAAATTCTTTAGAAGAAATTATGTAAATATAATGAAGCCTTAAAATATTTACACGGCAAGGATGCCATATTAGAAATTAAACATTTTAGAGTGATATAATGAAAGCAATTAAGATTTTATATATTATTACGCACCACCTAGAGTTGGTATATCATATCAAATTAATAGTTTGTAATAATATCAAAAATATACTCGTATTAAAAATTTAACTCGAAACTGTTTTTCAAATAATAAAAAATAGCTTACAAAACACATAAATAAAGAGAAGAAAAGATATCTAATTTATACATCTAGTGTAGGGTGAATAATAAGGTGTTTAATTTTTAATAAAATTTTTAAATAAATAGATGGCGTTAAAGAATTGAATGTAAATTGTTACTTATATTTATTATCAAAAGCATTTATTAGTAAAATTTATTAAAATATTAACTGTAATATATTATATAACTGTCAAATACGTCTGTTAAGTGACATTTTACCTAATATTTTATAAGCAATTATATATAATAAGGGATTATAAACTATATGTCTACCTTTTATAAAAAATCTCCTATACTTATTTGGACCTTAAAATTAATTTTAGGAAGAGGCATGGTAATTAAATTTAAAAATGAATAATATAGTTGATTAGTGATTTTGAACTCAGCTAATTACAATATTAAATTTGTTAATTTTAAATTTAATTAGGGTTATATAATAATTTTAATGATAAAAGTTAATTAAGCTTCAACTGTTAATGCTAAATTAATATTTATTGAATGATATTGATATTCTATTTTTAACATAGGATTTGATTGCAAGCTGACAATGAAAATATAATTTATAAGTATTAATCTAATCTAATAATTAAAATAGTATCATTTAATAAAAATTTAAATAGCCTTGTTAATTTTTAAATAATAAAATTAAATCTATATATATTACTTAATAGAATTATAAAATAAATCGTTCAAGAAGCAATCAAAACAATTTATTTTTACTATTAAAAAAAATTTTTTGCTTCAGGGGGCTATTCAAATTTTTCAGGGGGCTCGAGCCCTTGCGCGCCCCTCCCTAGTGACGCCACTGGTTATGGGGGAGATAATAAAAATTTTTTGATTCGAGAATATCTTAGGCTTAAGAAATTTATTAGGACACTAGTGATTATAAAATATGACAATTTCTAACACACATATTCAAATATAAAATGTTAAAATATTAAATGTATATAATCAGCGTATGAATCTCGAATAAGAATTTCTAGAAAAATATAATTTTTTTAAGGAATTAAAATTTGATAAATAAATTAAAATTATAAATAAAAAAATGTTGGAAATTTAGATTAAAGCACAAAAATATTCCTAAAAATTATTGCATAAACTTAAGCCTCTATTGCGCGAAATATCAATAAATGATATAATTTTTTAAAAAAACTATTTTTGTCTTTATAAACTAAAAATATTTTTTAAAAAAATTTCAGTGTGTATTTAAATACACAATGCGTGTAAAAAGTATCATTTCAATTTCAAACCTATTACAAAATAAAGAAATATAATTTTATTATTTGATAAATAATGTAATAAAACAAATTTAAAGCAATCGTTTTTTGTAGTAAAACATAATAATAAAACATATTTGATACAAATCACTTTCGTAACCAATTTACACCCAGGTTTTTGCATCGCGCCTTTCTACTATATTTTTACCAAGGTGCTATTAAATTCTGTCTTATTTCTTTCTGCGTAATAAGACTTGTCGGCCCCTTGCTAGATTTTTCTTTAAATTTGGTGTCAATTAATATTCGTTTTCATATTTTTGTTACATTTACAGAGTATTTGCTATTGAAATTTTAAATGTTAATAATGACATCTGTACTTTTACCGGTATCTTTAAAGCTATAAAATCTCGCCTATACATTAACCAAGATTTATGAGCGTATATGGAATACTATGAGGTGATACCATTTACGTGATCTTATGTGAATCCACTCTCCATATTTTAGAATTCTCTTTCAGTTAGAAAAACTTGAAGTTCTATTCCACAGAACCAATTATTAAAACACAATTTCAAATTGGAATGTTTTGGTACCAATAATTGAAATACCACATTTCCTCTAGAATCAACATCTGCTGATCTTGAATTAAGAATTACCCCATCTGATGAACCACTAAGGTTAGAATCAGAACTATCCTCTCAGTACATTTTGACTATAGATAGCAAATAAAGAATTGATAATATAAAAAAAATAATCAAAAAAGCCCAAATTCATATTTCATTTGTGCACATTATGTATCTGGGTACAAGGACCTTAAAATTTTAATTTTAAACACTATTACTGAATATAACAATATATTTATATATAAAACATTTCTTTTATCTTTATTTAATAGGATTTTTAACTTCCTGTTCCTTAAAAATTTGTGCAAGAGAAATGCATAATTTATAAAATGGGAAAAAATGCAACTATTTGAAAGTAAACTATGTATTTTAGAATTTTTATATAGATAGCTGTTTTCATTTTTGCCAAAATTAACTATAGAAATAAATAAAATATATGTACATCATGTGTATTAAACTGTAAAAAATTTTATATTAAAATTTATACCTTTTTTTAAGGTATGTGTATTCAAATATGATGTACGCAATAGAGGGTTAAAAAGTATTCATGAAAAAAATTATGGTTTAAAAAATGGGAAAAAATATAATTAAGAAGCATATTATAAATTTATAATGTGAAATTTAATCTTCTTTCGAAATGAGTCAATTTTTTAATTCCATCAGTGCTTGGTGTCAATTTCCTATGTATATTAAGATTTAATTTATTGGAATACTTCTGAGCAGTTTTGTTAAACGGCTCGATTTTTAAACACGGTGAACTCAATATTTTTCCCAGAAAAATATTAAGCAAGCCTAAAGATTTTGCTCATACATATGTTTGAACATATATTAACGAAATCTGGCAATATTTTTCTGGCTAAAATATTGAGTTACCCGTTATAAAAAAAGGTTGAAATCGAGCCAATTAACAACACTACTTCTCAGGCATGTTTTTATTATTGTTAAGGAAGAAAATATTCTTCCATTGGGAGAAGTAGTATTAGGTAGATTGCCAAAATATATAATTTAAGGAAAGTAGTCTAAAATGAGCTAGAAATTATGTGAAGCATCTATAGCCTTTTTTGGAACATAATCAACCATAATTTGCATTCAGCTAGTAATGTATGATGGGATACTTTAACATCCTCACAATAAAAATACGTCAAATATTTAGTTTTTTTTTCTACCAAAATTTGAAGTAGATAAGGATTCTGATAAAATTTTCAGATTTGAAAGTGATGCCTGATTAATATATCCTTTCATTCATTTGATTATAAAAGTATCCAAGAGGGGGATAAAGATATTTATTTCATAATATTCTTCACTGACTGACCCTATATTAATATTGGAGCAATGGGCTTGCCTTGTTGCGAGTCGAGGTAAATAAATATTAAATTTATGAGCTTTGTTTTGACTCAACAATGACATATAATTTATGAATACATTTGCCCTAATTTCAGTAAGTTCCAATATAATACTCTAGACTATTCTCATAGTTTCCATAATTTTTTTTAAATATTTTACTTTACTTTCCATTGAAACAGTTTCAAATGATTTGATAGGAAATTTGGTAGAAAAATAAATCGGCAAGAAAAATTTAAAATAGATAAATTACTAGCGTATTTATTCCTGCGGTAAATGTGACAAATAAATTGTGTAAATTAATATCTATAAAACAGTAATATTTTAAAAAATATTTTAACCGGAATCTGATTTTATTAAATTGGGGGGGGGGGCGTTATGTATACGTGCTTCTGCCACCAACTAATATAACATAGCTCTAAAAAACAATAAAATAGATTATACCCCTCTTCTTGAGGTTTTTCCTTTTCTCGGCTATTTCGCTCTTATCCATAGTAAGCAGTTTTAAGTCCTCCTTGTCCACAAGATAATCCTCCGCTCTTTCGTCTCCGATGTCGGGACTTTTATCCCTTTTCCGATCCTCTCCGTTAGGTGTAGAACCGAATAAATTATTAGTGGCCAAGGAAGGTGCGTGAGAAATGGAAATAGTATCCTTCCTTTTGTTGCGTTTTATAATGTCTTGGAAGTCAGATAATTTTTGCGTAAAAATAGCGCTGACGGTCCCAAAGGCTCCAGTTATTTGGGCTATTTTGCGGCGCGTGTATGGGTACGAAATGTTGTCCTTAATGCATTTTTTTCGTAAATCTTTTAATAATAGATGTGATGTTTCTTACTTTTCTTTTCCTTTGTTAAAATCTCTACAACTAAACTAATCTGTCAGTCAAAATTAATTCTAAACGTAAAGAGTAGATAATATATTCAGAAATCGGTAATCTGATAAAAATAATCCAACTTTAAGAAAATATTTAAAATTATTAGAATAGAAAGGAAATTTAAATTGACAGTTAGAATCAAATTAATTTTGAAATAAATATATCGGAATATTTTTTGTCTAGTTTTTCAATAAAGACCTAAAATGTGAAATATTTGCGACGTAGGGTATATTTTTGGCACAAAATATTACGAAAATAAACCATCTGGTACTTATATTGAGAAATATTACTGAAACCTCGATTTAGGGTCCTCGTTTCACATTTTTCCCGCATTTAAACGTTTAATATTTATGTTCCAGTAATTATAATTAAAATAATTTTAAGTTTGTCCGTGTTTAACGTTTTTAAGCATATAAAATATCTCACGTCACTTTAAAAATTTAGGTTTTAACGTTTTTGGAAATTTATTACAAAAACTAAATGAATAACTAGTCATTATAATTATAATTGATTTTTTATCCATCTTAATAAAAATAGTTAAATAATGTAACGTAATAAAAATAATATGGAATTTATTATTCCATATTTTATTTATTTAAGTTACTTCTTCTTTTTTTGATATCCGATACTTGAAAAAAAATTAAACTTTGCTTACAGGAGGGCAGATGAAGTTAACCCTATAAATAATAGTAGCTTTTTCAGCCTTCAAATTTTGAACCTTTTTTTCTCCTCTTACAATTTTGAGGTGCACTTAGAGGTTATATTAATCTATAAAATTTATCTTATATAGACTAAACTGCTTAGCCCACATCCATAATGTGCAATAAATTTATGAGGTATCTACAATAAAACATTTTTATAATAATAGCCGCGTGATGTATATTAATTTACCAGTCTTTCATAATTTATTTATCTCCATAATTGTTATTCTTTGAACGTAATTTAAGATTATTTATTTTTTAAATTTACTCTGATAGTTCTAGCGAAAAGGGTCGGTTCTTGAGAAACAAGTGCCATTTTTTGATGAAGATAAGTATGATCGTATTCCGAAACAGGAACGTCGTCTATCATCACGTAACCCTTAGCGGGCTTATAGAAATTTTGCAACAAAGCTATGCAGGAACTTTTACCACCTCCACTTGGGCCCACGAGAGCGACTATTTCTCCCGGCTCTACGACGAATGAAACATCCTTTAATTTTTTTTGGGGGGAAATCGATATATGCTTTTCCTTTTTTAAAATAGATTATATTAGTACTTAAATAACGAAATAATTGAAAGTAAAAAAGTTAAAATTTGTCATAAATCAAAATAGTGTTTTTTCTCTTCAAATAAGCAAATATTTTGCTTAACATACAACCGTGAATTTATTTATTTTTATCGGGATAAATTACCTCATGTGTTTAAAGACATAAATCTAGTTTTCGTCAAATCAATATTCATATATAAGATCTAAATTTATCCTGAAACTTCTTCAATTCTAGGTTTTTCTATCGGTTTCTCTAAATAAATGCTTATTATCATTTAGTTTCGTGAACACCTTATAAAGATTATTCAAGTTCAATACCAGATTTATATATTTATAAAATTAAATGATATTATTTCAAATTAGATGAATATATATGTTCACGTTCAAAATTCGTCTAAAATAAAAGGAACGCCGTTCACTTTGCTTTTTTGGGGGAAAAAAATTATACGAACTTGTTCAATTTGAAAGTGTTTTTACAACACTATATATCAAATATTTTATAAATAAATAACTGAATTAAGTAATATTAAGCATAATTTTTTAAAATTACAATTTACTTTTATATGCATAAGATACAAAATTTGGCGACCCTTAATAGTCTATTATGACGGGCACTTCCGTTCTCATGGGCCTGATTTTTACAAAAGCCGTTATTTAAAATATATAATATATTAATAATATACTAATAATATAATATAGCTGTAATTTTTAACATATTAAAAGGCTGGGTGAAAACTTAAGCATATAATAATATAGTTAAATCACATATTATATTATAAAGTTGTAGAAAGAAATTTTTAAGGATAAATATTAATTCAAAATCAAAAAGTTATAAATAAAATAAAATAGTAAATACACATCAAAAGCTAAGCCAACCTTTAAAGCTGTCACATTTTTGCGTGTGGGATACGAAAAATAGACATGGGAAAACGTGATTTTTCCGTTAAACTTTTGGGGTATGTAACGACCAGATTCCATATTAAAAGTGGGAATTCTTTCAATCAACTCGAATACCTGTATTATATTTATAGAGAAATTAAATTGACACTTAAAATGAATTAGGTAGAAACAATCATCCTTATTATTCGTTATATTTAGCCTATCCAGTCAAATAATTTACTACTTTAAAGCTTAAGACCAGGTCTCAAAGCCTGAAAGAAACCTATATAAATTAAAAATAATGATGGGGATGCATATGCATACAAACCTTTCTTGAGGATCCTATGGCCTGCATCAGCGCCGTAAACACGTTTCCTATGCTGGCGATGGCCTCCCCTAACTGAAGTTGATACAGAAGGAAGGAAACGAAATTACCCCCCGTAATGCGGTTCGTCAACACAAGATGACCTCCATAGTACAAGATCAAAATAAGAATAGCCAGTTCGTAAGTCTTACAATTAGATAATAAGACATATGTAAAGGTGGTATAAAAATTGTTAAAAATATAAGGGCTAGAAGAATATAAAAATTAATTTTTTTAACTTTTTTATAAAGCATTTAAACAAATTGCCGAGGTCCAAGTCCGACAAGAATAAAAATATTAAAATCACAGTCCCGTGTAGGACCATACTTTAAAGTGAAGTTTAATGAATTAATTTATCATGGCACTAATATTAAAAAAGATATATATATTAAATGCCAAATAAAATTTAAAAAAAAACTCAAATGTGATTTATAAAATGATTTGTTAAAATTTCATTTTAGATGCCTAGGCGTAATTAGGAGGCATGTTTAACTTTATTGGTGTTATGATATAATTTAAAAAAAATTAAGGCTTTATTTATTTAACAAAAATTTAAAATTTATACACGACATCTCCTGAACAATTACGCGATTGGCATACATTGTACAGATATAGTAAGATGTTAATTGCCAAAATGCATTGTATATTTTAAAACGAAAAATATGTTGATTCATTGACCTAAATTTATTTTAGAAAATTTCCACATAAATTTTTTGATTATAGTCCAATTCGGGAAAATTGTAGTTGTAACAGCTGATATATACTTAAATTTTATTCATGAATGTGAACCCAAATAGGGTTCAGGAATTTAAAATTGTTGGGTTAGATATTTAGAAACCAAAGGAAACAGGATTTATAAACAACTCCTCGAATCTCCGGTAATATGGACCTGGGGCTAGTTCAGACCCCTTTAGGAAAATAGGTTTCGACTAAGTTCCTGTTATCAATTTCGTCCAAATAGGGCTAAAAATTCCTGAACCTTATTTAGGTTCACATTTCTATTCGTTTATTTATAATCACATACAATCTGACCTTTCATATGATTATTTTATTAACAAAAAATCGAATCCCTAAGCAATAATTCTCAAACCCTTGAATAGTTCTAACATATAGCTCTCTTACCTTTAATCCTACTCCTTACTTCAGATACTTGCTTAATTTTATAGTTAATCCAAAAAATTTCATTCAGTTGAATATTCCTTGAGTTGCGATTATCAATTATTTCCCTCAATTAAAGCCGAAAATGATTTCATTCATAAGGTGCAATTTAACATATTAAAATATATAAAGTTAGCTGTGATGCGAATGTAATATAGATTTAATTAAAATAAAATATACAAAAAATTTATTCTGAAAATATGACTGTCAATGACATTGAATTTAATCGATAATTTTTAATATATTTAAAAAATTGATAAAAAATTATAAAAATAGATATTATAAACAAATCAAAAATTGAAATGTAAGGCCTATTCAAAAATGGTAGAAATCGAATAATGTTTATTATAGATAATTATACCAAATGAATAAGAATAGTATCAGAGATTTACAGAGGTTCATTTGCACGACTTGGCCCGGATTTTTTTAAAATATTTTCTCAAAATATATCACATTTATTTTTAATTTAGTAGTAGCTAATAATGGCGATTTATAATAAATACGGCTCGGCCGGGGTATTTAAAATTATTCTTTAGGCTAGACCCGTGTATATTTAAAAAATTAAAATAAGGCCCGGCCCATGACCCTTGCTGGGCTTAGGGTCGAGCCTGCAGGTCTATGGTGTATACTATTGCAGCAAATTATTCATATTCGATTCTTTTTGAATAGACCAGACCTATAAATGAAACATAGCAAAAAAGTAACCCATAAAGTGATCAGGCAAGTGACCTATATTTGAGCTAGTTTTGTAATTAATTTGAATAGTTTACTTTTTCGTTTTTTTTATTTATTGATTTTTTTGAAAATTCTATTTTTAATCATTTGAAGCCAATTTTATTTCAACAATTAAAATATGAATTTTAAAATTTAAGTAAATGTGATTACATTGATTTTTTTTGTCATTATTTTATATAATATTTAATACAATAATTAAAATTAGTGTATGATTTTTTTTAGTGTTGTTAAAAGACTTGTTTTGAGCCGATTTTTAAAAACGGCTAACTCAATATTTCATCCAGAAAAATACTACGCAAGCCCGAAGATTTTGCTCATAGAAAGAACAAAGGTCTATACATATATTAACGAAATCTCGAGACTTAGTTAATATTTTTCTTGCTAAAATATTGGGTTTAGCGTTTCAAAAAATCGGCTCAAGAGCCGTTTAACATCAGTATTTTTTTTGAAAAACGTTTCAATCATAATATTCACCAGGTTTTTAAAAATCAAAAAAAGTCTCAAAGCTTTAAAATTCTATAAATATATCTTATCGTTAAATTTGTAGAAAGGTTTGTATTTATAAGATATGTAGTGCTGAGACTTTTAGTGGCTCAAAGCAAAATTTAATTAGGTGTTCCTTTAAAAAATCACAATTTATCTAAGCTTATTTGAAAATTTTTTGTATTCTGAAAAAGAAAAGTATGAAAATATGGTAAAATTTATTAAATTTTAATCCTAAAGTAACGCATATTAAAAAAAATTAATATAGTGTATGACCGTGTATATAATCACAGGCTTAGATAATCATAAAAACTAAAAAATAGTAGTTTAAACATTTATCCTTGCCTATTTGTAATAGAGGATATTATGTCAGTAAAATTTGACGACGACGACGCAATGCAATTTCCAAATGAAATCAGGGATAGATTTACGAGGGGGCCCTAAGCCATGTGTAATCTTAAGTAAGTTTTGATTAATTTGAGCTTTGAAAAGTAATAGTTTGAATAATCCTCAAAACAAAGGATAATTGACAAGGCTTCCTATTAGTGTAAATTTAACGCAAGATTTCTAAATAACTTATTATGGTCTGCTTACACAATATTTTTTATTTAAAATTTTAATTCAGTTTATAGATCGGGTAAACATTGTTTTCCAATGAATCTTGATCTGATGATGAACTATTTATTTAATTAGAATATGCTTTTAGCTCCGTTTTAGGCGCATTTATTAATGCAGGTATATCGAAAAATGATTCTCGAAAAGCCAAATGATCTTCGCTTGATCGAGGAATAAGTTAAAAATTCAATCATATCAATGTGCTCATTATCGATTATTTCTCGCATTTAAAATTGGCCATGAGTACCTTTTTAAAGTGTTTTAAAAGAGCCCCTCTTTTGAGAATTATTAAATTCAGCTACTCGCTTCTTTCTCGGTCACTAAGCACCGGAATCAAATTTGTTTCTTCGCATTTTCAAACCTTTTAAGCCTAAGAAATAAAAGATAATATTCTAAATTAACAATGATAACGGATTTTATCCGTTACGCGCAATTAGATTGAGCTACATTAACGAATATTTAACCATTTAAAAGTAATTAATCAATATATCAGATCCGTTTACTGAAAAATCCAACACTATTGGCACAATCCGATGCTAAATACCTAAAATTAACAGATCATCATAATGGAAAAGAGGACATTTTTATGTATTTAAATAAGGGATTTAAAAAATTCAATTGATTTTTAAGCAGACATTTATTTTTATTGTATCTATAACTTACAAATCATATTTTTTTATTCCATTTTTTCCAAATATATTTAGCTTTTCTCTAAAAATTTCTATAAATCTTAGCAAAATGAAAATTGTGATGCCTGCATATTCCTCTCATTTGCACATTGACTATCCATTAAAGAAAAGACAACTTTAGTATTATGAGCATATAACAAAAATGAATTTATAATCAGCAGTTGTTGTTTAAGGATTGGAATGCCAGAGAAATATTTGACTCGTTTTTGGTGAAGGATTGCATATTCAACAAATCTCATTTTATTTGTAATAAACGATTTAAGGTTGCAAAAATGGTAGAACAACTTTGACTCATTATTTTTATACTAAATCTGACCACTTGGGAATATTTAATTTCATCCATTGGAAATTCCAATTCTCCTAGAGGTTCAGCTGACTAAATATCAAAATATTAAAGTACTATATAATACATTTAATAAATTATCTTTCATTGCATTTACTTAAATTTTTTTTGTCCATTTTTAATATTTATTTCAAATATTTTTTTCTGGGAATTTTTTTTCTATTATTTCTTTCTGTTAACAAATATTGTAATGATTTTAAATGGTTTAACATTTCAATCAGACACTTTCATGGGTCAGCCGATACACAGGTATAAAATATTTTCTAGTGGGCCTGGGTTTTTAAAAATTTTTCTTAATGGGTTTGTGCCTAATTTTTTTTATTTAAATCTAGCTTATTAAAAACAGTATTGCATTTTATTTTTTCTAATAATGATAAATTAAATTTCAATATAGCAAACAAAATGATTGCCAAAATACTCTTAAATATTGTTTATTTAATTGAATACAATAAATTAAATATTTACAAGGGCTTGGGCAAAATTTTGAAATCTAATGATGGATGGGATTGGGATTTTTTTTAAATATTAAATTTGATCTGGGACTACAATTTTTTTACACTGCGGGCTAAGGCCAGATCAAAAATCAAGACTTCTTAAGTCTCTGATTTCTATAACCTAATTATTTTATTTCTTGACTGATTTAATTTTTTCAACAAAGGCATAAAAAGGAATGAAATCATTTTCAAAAAATCCTAATAATTGGCGGATTAAGAGAAAGTAAAACTGTAATGCTTCATACATTTCAAGAAATTGTTGGACACAAGGAAATAAATAATTCTATTGTATTTTTGAGTAATAAAGAAGTTATTTATAACCAAGCTCATGGAATTTACAAAAGTATATTATGAGGGGAATATATAAAATTTTTTTTAATGATGAATAATAACGTGATAAAATATATACAAGCAATAATATGATGTAATTCTAAAAATTTTCTTGTAATAATATGTAAAAAAAATAATTTAAAAAAAAAATTAAAATAAATATTTGACATATTTTTATACATCACAAAAGAGGATGACTGGTAATCCTATGAATCAGGGATGCAAACCTAGACTCTTATATTTTTGCTGAACCCAAACTTGAACCTTTTTAAATAAAAAGTGGAGGGTTTTACTTGTAGGTGTCAAAGAAATTTTTTTAAAATTCATGATGAAATATTTTTGCATTTTTCAATATTTTCTAGTTTTTATAATAATGATAACACTATTGATGACTTTGAATAAAATTTAAATTTGTCATTTCATTTTAATTGATAACTTATCAATCAAAAGGGTGATGTGACTAAGATATACATATAGTGCTTATGAAAGGTTCTAGTTAGCTGTCATAAATCTCATGTCTTATAAAAAAAGAAAATAAGAAAAACTTTTTGCTTTAAAAATTGGTTGGCATTATTAATTAAATTAATATGCATTTTTTTCACTAATAACTTGCTAACATGTTCTGTATTTTTAGATTATTATAATCATTTTTTCCTTTTAAAATTAGATATGCAATAAAAAATATTAAAAATTGTGTCAATATATTTTCATATGAATTATTTTAAAATATTTTTAAGAAATAAATGATTTGAATAATTTAAATCAAATACAAATTAAATTTTATTATTTGTATAAATATTAATAAATTTTTTGATTTATTGCATTATTTGATTTATATTCGTTTTTGAATAAGCCTAATATGGAGTATAAAAAAAAATAGCTTTTAAAAATTATATTCCTGAACCAGGACCCTTTTTTTCACACTGCTATGAATATGGAGAAGCATATTAAATACCAATAAAGAATTTTTAAATAATATTAAACAACATACCTTTGAAGACCACATATATCCTGCATAAAGTAATGCACCCCGCTTCATTAATCGATAAGTCCTTTTAAGATCTCGTGAATATCTCAATATTTCAGAATTTTCACCGGCAAAACTTTTTACAGTTTTGATGCTTGATAAAGTTTCTTGAGTTGTATCATTTGATTTTGCTAATGATTGTTGAGTTTTTTCAGATAGCCGTTCATAAAATTTGCCATAAACCTTTGAGAGATAAGAGAATAGTGGTAGGGCCATAACAGTTATCATACTCATCTGCCAAGAGATTGTGAACATAAATATACAAACACCAGCACCTTTGACAATACTTCTAAGAAAAATATTAAGATTAACACCGATTAAATCACTTAATGTTGAGGTATCAGCTGAAAGTCTAGATGTTAGTTCACCAGTTTTCACTTCATCAAAAAAGGCCATGTCTTGATGTAGTAGAGATGCAAAAAGCGTTTTTCGTACTCGTATATTAAGTCTTGATATACATATGGTGAAAAAACAACCTCTTACTCCTGAGGCAAAAGCTGATATAAAAGATATTATACTCATAATAAGAATTGCATGGGCAAACATTTTTTCTGATTTCCCAATTACAATGCTATCAATGACCTGCCCCATGTAAAAAGGTTGAAATATATCTGCAACAGCAGCTAAAAATAAGAAGAAAAATGCCACTAAATATATAAGATAATCTGGCAATGCATATTTAAATATTCTAAAAATAGGGCTCATTAATTGCTTAGTAGAGGAAGAAATTAATTCAGAACCATCAGTTTCATTTTCATCTATTTTGTTCAATTTTTCTACATTTATTTGATTTGTACCATTTGAATTAATATTATATTTATTAGCAATATCACTGTCAGCACTTGATGACAAAAGGGGAATGTCAACATTTGTTCCACTATCTTTTCTTTTCTGATCCTGAGTTTGCTGAACTATATTATCATTTTTACGTCCTTTTTTTAATTCTTTAACACGTTTTTGAAATATTCTATCTTTGATAATATTATCATCTGCACTATTTATCTGATTCATATGGGAATGTTTAGAGACAGGAGATATTGAGGTTTGGAATTTTTTAAATGAGTTATCATTGTTAGAAATTAATAATGGTTTTTGTTGAATAGAGGATTTTAAAATAGAAACAACCTCTTTAGGGAGTTTGTGTTGTTTTTCAATTTCCTTAATTTTAATGTGAATTAACATGTAGGTTGTAATAATGGCAGTCAAAGTCCATGTGAAATGACACCAAAAATATGGTCTACCATTCCATTTCAAGATTTTTTCAGACATGACCAACAATTTAATCATCAAATAAGTATAGGATAATAATGAAAATATCATCATAAAATTTTTAAACACATTTAAATGTTTAAACTTTTTAAACATACAGAATAATGACAATCCAAATCCCAATAATGAAAAGGCCCTTATAATGCCAATGATCCATGTGTCAAAGATATCATGATAAATATCAAATTTGGATAGATTGAAAAAATTTTGCCAACATGTTTTGCCCCCATGACAATATAATATGGTGTTGAGGGAAATATCAAATAAAGCAAATAATATTAATAATAATCTATTTATGCTATGATAAGCCATTGAAAACTATTCTTTAAAATTTAAAATCATATCATATCATATTAAGCACGTTGGTCATAGACCTGCCTAAAGTGAGAGAACGTGAATTACATCGATGGCCCTCTATATAATTATGCCGATTTTTTTCCTCAAGGATATCAACAAACCCTTGAACAAACCTAAAAACTCGGGAGTTGTATCATAAAAGAGTGGAACTGCACCCTATCCGATTATAGTATTAGTATAGTTATGAGTATATAAGAGATGATAAGAAGAAAGTGAATTATTTCTTCCAAATACAAAATAAGTTATTAAATTTTTTTTTAAATATATTTATACAACATATTATGTAATCAGGGTAAAAACGTTATAAAAATCTATTTAAGAGTTTTAAGTATTTATAACTAGTATTTAAAGTTATTTAGTAATTTTCCTATTATAGAAATATCAAGTTAAATTATATTTAAGTTTTATAATTATTTATAATTAATATTTTCAATTGCAATTATTTAAAAATAATATTTAAGTTATCTTTTTTAGTACTGGATTCCTATAATAGTATAATGAGACTCAGGCGCGTACGCAGCGGAGGGGGGGGCAGAGAGACAAATCCCCACCCCCCCCCCCTTCAAAGCCAAAAAATGCAGATGCCAGATATATTTTTCAAAAATATTATTGTTTATATTAATTTATATTTGTTAATATTTATTTCTATCTCATATTAAATATTTAATTAAATTTATTTATCACATCCATCTACTAAGTTATTTTATCAATTAATTTCGATTTAAAGTTTTTCTTGGAGTAATATTTATCTATTATTTTCAAACTTCTAGTGGCGTAATATTTATCTTTTCAAATTTCTAGTCAAATAATAATTATTTCTGAAACTCCTTGTCCAACAGGGAGAAAAAAATTGCAAGCTTGTCCAATGAGATGGAGTCTCCGCCATCAAGCAGTAACAGCTTTTATGGAGTTAGAAGGGCCGATTATTAATGCTATTACTGAAATATCACAATGGCCTGAAAGAAATATTTCCTCAGAAGCAAGAAAATTATTGGATTCAATACTTATTCCAAATTTTTTTTCTCATTAGAGTGTATTATTTAATTATAGAACTATTTTATGTAATACTTTTCAAAAAACCTGATTGAAAAGACAATAGTGGAGAGCATTTTATTAGAACTCAAGGAAATTAGGTTGTTGATGAAGAATTTCATATTTTATATTATTATTGTTGAGTCAAAAGCAGAGCTATATGTGTTTATATTTGTCTCCCTCGACTTTAAGCAAATCTAGCTCATCGTGAAAACATTAATATAAGATTAGTAGAAGAGTGTTAAAAAACAAATGTTTCCTCTCTTAGATATATTTATAACCCAAATAATATATGGTTTTTAATTCATCGTGCAGAACAATCTGCAGATATAACTTCCGCAAAAGCTTTACCAACCTTTCAGATGGTGATAGAAAAAAAATATTTGTTAGATTTTTATCATGAAGATGTTAAAGTATTTTATGATGCCTTATTAACTGAATAACTATGTTTATAAAATTAACTATGGTTGATATAGTCCCAAAAAATGCTATGGATGCTTTGAATTTCAAACACATTTTAGAATATATTACCAAGTATTAAAAGGGTTTATATATATTAGCAACTCTTCCTATTAGTAAACTAATGAGAGAACATTCTCGTTTTTAGAATAACAGAGACCTGCAGAGGTTCCATTTGCAGGGCACGGCCCGTATTTTTTTTTAAATTTTTTTAAGGCCTGGTTAGGGTTTTTTTTAAAAAAATCAGGCCCGCCCCGGCTATTTAAAATAAAATTCCCGGATTTTTTTAAAATAAATTATATATTTTTTTGATTTTTATAGCTAAATAACGATTTTAAATATAGGTTGCTTTAAAATATATAACCAGGCCCGGTTTTAAAAAAAATTCGTGCCCGGCCAAGGTATATTTTAAACTGCAGGTCTCTGAAAAACATACCAAGAAGTATAACTTCTGAAATGTAGATTGAAAGGTTGGATCTTTTGAATATTCATAGGCATTTGACGACAAGCAAGGATGAGATAATTGAAAAATTAGCTCAATCCCAACGAAGATTGGATTTTACATGTAAATATATAACATACAGGATACAATTATTCCTTATAAACTTTTTGTGTATTAATTTATATTTCCAACATTTAAATTATATATTTATATATAAATTTTAAAGGCTCAAAGAATTCAAATTTCAATTTTGGGTCATTTAAGTGATTCATATAGTGGTTATATTCACTTTATATTTTATAATTCACATTTATTTTATAGATTTTCTATACCGCCAGGCATAGGCGTAGCCACGGGGTGGGAGGCAAGGGAAACCCCCCCCCCCCCTTTCAGAAATTTTCTACTTTTTGTAAATATCATTTTTAGCTAATTAAATACCCCTTAGTCCTCCCCCCACTCCCTGACCCTTAAAAAGATATGCATATATTAATATAATTTTTTATAAAGTGAGTAATTTTAATTTATTTATCTTAATAAAAGAAAAATATAATTATAAAACTAATGATAAAACTAAATCATAAATTAAATAAAAATATTAAAGCACAATACAAACAGTGGAATATAATATGTCGTAGATTTACAGTATATCTAATTTTATCAATTATCATATGACAATCAAGTAAATTTTAGCAATATAGCGAATTATATATTTTACAAAAAACTATAGAATATTGATAAGGACATCAGAAAATATCTTTTAAAGACATTGTGGGATGAATAATATGAAAATTAAATTTTAATATTATATTTTACATAAAATAAATAGAGGGCGTTAAATAATTGAATGCAAATTATTGCTATATTTATTATCAAGAGCATTGATTAGTAAAATTTGTTAAATTATTAACTGTAATATATTCCCTAACTGTCAAATATGTCTGTAAAAGTGGAATTTTACTTAGTATTTTGTAACTAATTCTATATAATAGAGGAATATCTACTATATGTCTACTTACTTTTTATAAATAAATTTCTTATAATTGTTTTGAATAAATTATTACCATGCTTTTATATTAATGTATATACAAGTAATTATTATATTTTATATAAACTAATAAAAATATATTTCATATTTGTTCCAGGCTTATTTTTATACTTGATATTTAAAAAAAAACAATAACATTTCTTAAAAATTTTTATTAAATATATATTTGTTATATTATCATATTTAAAATATATTGTCATAATATTTAATAAATAAATTGTATATTCAAGTTTATGGTGTGCATAAGATCTATTTTTATGGGGATTAGGTGTGGAATAACTAAGTAGTTTTTTTCTTTACAATAGTTAAAAATGAAGGAAAATGAAATGTGATAACACTATCCCCGGTCTATTTTGAACCTTGGCATATATAAATTAAGAAGAATTAAATAAAATTTCAGAAAATCTTACTAAATTATTTTATTGATAAATGGTTAATTTATATAAAAATTAATCTTAATAAACAAATATATTATGCAATTTGAAATAAATATTTAGTAAATTAATATTCTTTTTAGAAAAATGTTAACAACTCTACGTATTACTGATTATTTTCGCTTTACAATGTTAACTCTAAAGTGTGACTAAAAAAAGGCCGTTTTAATCTCTACTCTCTCACTCTTAAACATTTTAAAAAGATTAATTGATGAGTATTTAATATTTATAAATTTTTCATTTGCCAATCACTAACCAAAAACAATTATAAAAATATAAACTATAACATTACTCATTAAACTGTCTTTATCGGATTTTGATGGCGATTCAAAATCAATTACATCTAAATTAAAAGGGATTTCCCCAATTCCAGAATATTTTTGAATCATATGATTTTGTGATCCTTATAGATATATTTTTTTTATCTTTTCTATCTATTTAATTTAGATATAAAATATTAGTTATATTTTCAAAAATTTTGAATGAATCTAATATTAAAAAATAGCCTTAAACGAAGTTAGCCACAAGGACAAGCAGTAATTATGAAGCATAAGCCAATATATATTGCATAGTAATTGTAATACATACAGGTTAAAGCTTCAACATATATTATTTTCCCCTTAATTACTCAGAATTACTATTTAAAGTAATTTTTACTGAATTCTCAAAAGTTGCCAAGTAAAAATTTTAATTTTCTCAAAATTGAATTTCTTAGAAAATATAATATATAGCTCAGCAATTTTTACTATATATTTTTATTTTTAAGTGAAGCATGATTATTTGAGTTTTCAAATTAATCATTAATCTATGTCTTCTTCTGGTGGTTTAAATCATGACAGGTTGGGGGTAAACATTTTTCCAAAAAAATATATAGACAAAGGTATCAAATCCTCTCCATCTTTCCTGATGTCGAAATCTTCAATCGATTTCTGTTTTCGTAAGAACATCCCAAATCGACATTTTTTTAAACTATAACTAGGAATTATTTGTCCCTTAATGGGCATGGTGGGCATAGTTTATTCCACTAACTTTAGGTGGGAATTGATTGTTTCTTATAAAAATTACTGCCTTAATTAACTATTAAACATGACGTTTATACTTTTGAAATTCATTTTATCACTTAAAATATTTATTCCCTCAAAACTATCAAAAGTCATAACAATTTCATTGAAATTATTTTATTCATTCTATGACAAATATAAAATTATTCACAAATATTAATAAAATGAATATCAAAAAAGATAACGTTGTTTAACAAATTTATATTAAGTTTGATGATTAAAATATCGTTTAAAGTATATTTGTCAAATTTATTTAATGTGGTTACTTCTTAGTGCACTGAAGGATCTTTCTATCGATATATGTGAGCAAAGATCAGCTAGAACTACTCACTAGAGGGATATTTTGGATAAATGTAAAAATATTTTGATGGGTAGGCAATTTTAGGCTATACATTAATTTGTAATATCCATTATCGAATTAGAGTTAAACAACAAATAAATGCATTTCAGCTTAAAATTAAAGTAGAGTCAACTCCTGAGGTGACTTATGTCAACTCCTGAGCCAGCATATCTAATCTGTTTGAGGCTTAGCCATTTTTTGCAACTTTAGGGTAAGAATTAAATCAACATAAATTATCCTCATTTTTCGATGATATATAAATTATAAATATCTAAAAATCGATAAATTCCTATAATAAATTTTTCACGGTCTTAGAAGGTAATTATTTTGAATTCCATATCAATTATTTAATTAATATGAAATTGAATTACTCGTCCTCTAATTTTTAATTTTCAGAATATAAATATACAATTTTTTTAAAAAGACTATTATTGAAATATTCGTCCACTATGCATAAAATTGAGCAAAACATTAACAATAAATTTTTATAAGTTGATTTGGTTTGGTGCTAGGATCTGTGCTCTGGTCGATGCTCGGGTCTGTGCTCTGGTCGATGCTTGGGTCGGTGCTCAGGTCCATGCTTGGGTCGATGCTCGGGTCTGTGAATTTGGTCGACCAATTTGGTTGCTTTGGTTTTGGTTCATTTTTTAGACCAAAAACCCAACCAAAAATCATGCTAATTCGACCCAACCAAGCAATTTAACAACATTAGTACTAACAGTTAAAGAATATTGGAAAGCTTACTTGGAATATCTATAAAGTATCATTGGATGGATACAGACTAACGATATATAATTAATATAAAAAAAATCTTCTTTCTTTTTAACTTTCGCATTTAAAAAGGACATTTCTTCCGAATTTTAGAGAAATTGACCTTTCATCAAATTAAAGACTAATAATAATGCACGTTTGCATATAACAAAATTTTGCAGAGAATTTCAATTATAGATTTTATTTATTATTTATACAATAAAATAAATTAAATGTATAAATTTTATACAGATTATATTAAAAATTTATTCTAAATAACTATATTTAAAAAAAATAGAATTACAATAAAATATGAGTAATTCTTGTGCGATATTTAAAAAAAATCTAATTTAACAATTATAATATAATTAATACAAATGAGTATAATAATAAAACATAAATAATTCTTATTAAAAATCTGCAAAAGTAGGAAAATCAGGATCGGGCTAGGTCGAGCCTAATATTTTTTAAAATCGGGCTGGGTTGGGTCGGGCCTTGGATTTTTTTTAAAATATATCAATTTTATGTTAATTTTTTATGTAAAATAAAAATATTTGATTTATATATAAAAACTAGACGCCATATAACATATATCTTATATTTTGAGTAATTATAAAAATGAATTTCTTTATTGAAATTGTTAAATATAATTAAAATTGAATATTATAAAGTTTGTTTAAAAGGTCTAAAATTGAATATTGTATTTTTTAGCTTAAAAGGTATGTGATAAGAAAAAGTAAAATGAAATTGTAAAGGACACATGTATTTTGTTTATATGTAAATACGATATTATAAAAAATGTATATAATGACAAGAATTTTGTATATAGATAGATATTATAAAATTAAATTTAAAAATCAAGAAAGAGTTCCCCCGTTGCCTTCCACTAAATTAAAATGGTGGCAGCGGATTAAGAAGCTACAAATTATACTGAAACATGGTGAAGCTAGACGAAAGAGGATTATGGAAAATGATTTTAATATTATTCTAAAAAAAAAACGTAAGAGATGATTAAAATATAAAATTGAATAAAAATATAATAAAATTTTAATGTTGAAATATTTAAAATAAGACAATATTGATAAAACAAAATTAATAGATTAATTAGAAGATTATTTAGTAAAAAATTTAAGGATGATGAAATACGATGAGCACGATGAAGGGATGAAGTCGCACGTACATAGATATCAGTGGAAACCGAGATACGATAATTATGAAGATTCGAGACATACAAATAATTATGAACCAAGATATAGAAACAATTATAATCCTAGAGTTTATGATAATGATAGGGGGTATAATGGGCCAGGACCGTACAATAATTTTACAAGATTTAACAATAAAAATAATTACTACGATAACTATAGACATAATAATAATGATAATTACAAATATAATGATGACAAAATTGCAATTCTGGGAATGACATGGATAAAAGTTTTTGGGAACATACTTAATAAAATTGTAAATATAATCGAGGAAAATAGAGAAGTAGATAATAAAAATTATGAAGGTACATATTACAATAAAAAGCATGAAAATTATAAATATCATAATAATAAAAACTTGAATAAAATTGAATTGTGTAAATTAAATGTTAAAAAAGAAATAAATTCTTATAAATTAGAAGAAATAAATCATTTGATAACAATTGAAGAAATAATAGTTATTAAAAACAATAAAATAAAAATTGAAGAAAATAATAAAATAAAAAATTTTATAATTAATAAAAAATTTAAAAAAACTTTGAAAAAGAAAATTAAAACAAAGGTGATTAAATATCGTGATGTTGAAAAAGATATTAAGAGTACGATATGGAGATCGTATGTTGCAAAAAATATTTATATAAAATTTTGAAAGAGAAATAGGATGATCAATACAAACAGCAAATCAACAAGCAATGTTCAACCAACGACGTTTCAACAATGATGTTCAACCAACGATGTTTCATAATGTTCGATAATCAATTCAACTGACGATAATCAGATGGTCTGACAAACGATCTAAATGATATACTCTCGATGATAGGAAAGAACACTATAGCTTTCGAAGGAAGAAATTTAAAAAGAAGAGGAAATGTAATATAATTAAAATTGAATATTATAAAGTTTGTTTAAAAGGTCTAAAATTGAATATTGTATTTTTTAGTTTAAAAGGTCGGTGATAAGAAAAAGTAAAATGAAATTGTAAATGACACATGTATTTTGTTTATATGTAAATACGATATTATAAAAAATGTATATAATGACAAGAATTTTGTATATAGATATAATAAAATTAAATTTAAAAATCAAGAAAGAGTTCTCCCGTTGCCTTCCACTAAATTAAAAGAAATAAATTCGGGCCAGGCCGACAAAATTTTTTAATAATTTCTGACAGGGCCGGGCTTGAAAAATTAGGCCCGATTATTTTTATTAAAAATAGTATAATATATAAATATTATGACTAAGAATTTATTATAATTACGTTTTGAATATAAAAATTTTATGGCTAAGATCATATTAATAGCAATTTTATAATTTGAATTTATAAAGAGAGGTCTACTTTTCTCTGAGATTTGACGAATTCGAATCAAATTTTTATCTAGAATAATCAATATTTAATATTTAGAATCCATTTAAACGGCCTTCACCAGTGCTATTTCTTAAATAGGTTTTTAACCTTTTCAAAGTTGAAAAAGACCTTTCATTAGTGCAGGTGCTAATCGGTAAGGTAGCTAAGATAAAAAGCAATGTTTTGATATTAGGCAGAGAATCGAAAGTGCAAATATACATGGAAAAGGCCTGGAAAGCACATTTTGGTCTCAAAGAGTACTCTATTCTGTCAAAATTTTTATACCAAAATTCGACATCACAAAGTAATTTATCATATGATCCTGATAAATCATCAGAGTAAAACTCTGAGATTTTATTAATATCCTCTCGCGTTTCAAGTGTAATCAACAATTCAGACTCAACCAGCAAAAGAAAAAAAAAGCTGTTTAAAATAAAATTGTGAGTAATAAATCTTTCCTTTAATTGAAATAAAATGTATCAATAAGGGGAGTAAAAAATATTTATTTTATAAAAATCCTCAATCATAGATGCATCAATATTTAAGCGATTGGACTATCTAGAAACTACTCTAGGTTTAAAATTTTTAGTCCCAAACATATTAACGATCACCTTTACTTTCTCAATTTCCCAAATTAAATAATTTTTCTTTTATTTAAAAATTAATTAAAACTATCTAATTAGTATAACAATATAAATTCTATTTTTAAATTTATAAATATTAAATTTAACTATGCGAGAAAAAATTACAATATATTTTTATTGTTATTTAATATTTTACATATATTTTTAATATATATTTTTAAACCATGCTATCATTTAAAATTAAAAATTCTTATTTGTTTATTAAATATATTTCATTTTCATATCGTATATAATTTTATTTATAAATTGAAACCATTTTTTCAAATAAAATTATTTGCAATAAGAAAAAAATTTAAAAAAAAATCTTCTAAAATAATTTTTTTTTCGGAGGTTATGGGGGGGGGTTCAACCCCCCCCCCCTCCTTCTCTACGCCACCGGGTGATGGGGACTGTCAATATTACTAGCATCACTACTAAAAAAAGATTCTGAAGAGATTATTGCACACTTTTATAAACAGAATGCGAAAAAAAATAACAATATGGCAGAATGTTTATACTAATTATTTCTATTAAAAAATTAAACATAAAAATGGATTTCGATTTTATTTATAAAAATAAATGGTTTTCGGTACATCCCTAATTATTTCTATATTATATCTTTTTGAAAAATGTTAAGTTTGGCAATTTATTATATGCGATTTAAATAAAAAAATTCATAAATACATGAAATATTTAAGGTTAAAATTATTATAACATAAACTTATTAAAATAATGGTTACTATTTTGCAAATGGCTGCTAAATGTAGGACGTTTTTATTATATTATAGAATTGGGCATTGAGCAGTCCATCAAAAAATATACATAATACAGCAATATTTTATTCTATTCATGCTAATTATTTTGTAAAATTCACTAAAAAATGATACATGGTTTGCTATTTTTATTATCAAATCGAATTTTATAACTATTCCGAAAGGATGATAACGAAATATTTATTTTCAAATAAAATTCTATATGTATTTTTAAGGTTCCTATAATTTTTGAAGCATGTAATTTCGTCCTTCCTAACAATAATAATTGCATGTTACAAAAAATAGAATATACAAATATGAATATTATGATGTATCTTCGAAGATTTTACTATATTGCGAAAATTAGATATCCCTTCAGTTTTTACCTTTATACCGATGATGTTTCTCGAAAGCGTCAAACAAACGTTCTGCGAACAAGGCAACTGTTTGCTCCTTCTCATATTTACCAGACATATTTTTACCAGCGTCATAACTAATTGAATAAATAGATCGCTTTTCATCGATATTCTCCATGTTTTTACCAATAACTAAACGTTGGCGTGCGTAAACTAGGCCATTTTTATCTAATACTCCCATAATATCCATCAACGAGTTTCTGATCATTTTGTAGGATACAAATTTATAATTTTCTACTTCGTATTGCTTTTTTGATCCTTTATTTTTTAATCTAATTTCCTTTCCTTCATCTTTAACCTCAAAATCATCTTTATCAGGATTAATACTGTTATCAGCATAGACGATATAACAAGCCTCACACATATTTATGAGCCATTCCGGAAACAAGGTGGATTTTATCCGTTTTTCGGAATCGGATTGGAAACTCAGTTCTCTGAATCTACGACAAAGTCCGCTTATAAGTTTGGAGAGACAGGCGACGAGAGGAATAATATAATGTTGATGAAAAAATGTAGAGTTTACTTTGTTGAGAAATTCGGGGGCTAATAGGAATTTGGTCAATGATTTTATATTATTAGTTAAATTAAAGAAGAATGAATTGAAATCATTGTGGGTTGGAGTATTACCTATAAAAATATGTTCATTATGTCTTTTTTTGTGGAGAACGCTTGTCCAAGAGTTAACATACGATAAAAAGAGCAGAGATATGGTTTTAGGGCAATAGTTATTAGGAGATTGAAAATATAAGAATATGGTAAGTGAGGATTGTTGGGAAAAACTGAGTATAAGATTTAACGTAACATCATCATCATTGGACATCTTATTTATAAAAAAATAAATTATTAATCAGATTAAAAAAACCTTTATCATTAGTCGCAAAAGTTCTTGGTGTGATAGTTCACAAGTCAAATATAATATATCCCTACAAATAAAAGAAGGCGTTTTTTTATGATGAATCCATAACTTTGACATATTGCTTATCTATTTAAATTTTAACGATCAAATGTTTAAAGTTTAATAAATTACTTTATGAGTGAAATTAAATAAGGCCTGCAGGTATTCTTTTTTACAATTAGACGAGAATTCATTCGTTCTAGATCTGATAAAATATTTAGACAACCAGTTAGAGCATATAATTTTGGTCACCAAAAAAACCATTAGGAATGATGAGTAATGCTTGAGCTTCATTTCCTCTCTTTCTCTATTCTTTGTTTCTAAAGTCTTTAATATAATGAATAGTAAAAAAATAATAATGTAATTTAGATATTCTGGTACTATATATTAAAGTCATTATCCTGAAATAGATTCTCCAATTGCATAATTTATTTTTAGCTTATAATACTATTATCATTTGTATAAAAATTATATTTATACTTGGTTTATATCATCAACGAGTGTTTAGGATGATCCCCTTTAAAAGAAATCAAACTTGGCATGATACATATAAATGCTTCAAATTTCAATAATATTGAAATTTTAGAGGACTAGCTCAACCATAACCCAAAATATATGCCTTTAAAGTCGAAAATCACGCATAGAAATAAATATGAGAGTAAATTATTATATAATATTTTATATCCCTTAAAATTCTAATTAAGAAAATGTTTAAATTAAATTTTGGCAATATAATTTTTTAGGTGAGGAAACGAGCTAGGTGATTATTATTTTTATATTTAACTGTTTAATTTTTAAAAATCGATAATAACTTTCGTTTTTTAATTTTTTATTTAAAAATCTAATTTAGATGGCGTTTTATTTAAGAATAATTAACACAATCGTATACTAATATTGTACGGACTGTTCCTGTCTTATCCAACTGGAATTAGAATTTTTGAGCCCTGCACCGATCCGATTAAACATTTTTCCTGACGATCCGAGCCTCATTCGAAAATACAGCGTTGTATTTATTTACAATATAAAGATTAAAAGTGTTTAGAATAACGGAAGATTTAGTTAAGAATTAGAGAAAGTAAAATAATTGAAAATTCAAGCTAATAGGTCAGAAAATAATAGTCAATGTTCAATATAGACAATGAGCGACTTTTCTGAAAATTATTTTTTTGTTAACCAAGATGCAGCTGAAGGATTTAACTGGAATAATAATCAAGTGATTCCTCCCATGATATGTATATAATAATGGTGGTAATATCCAAAATCAAAATTATGTGGTACTATCGGAAGTCACTCACAATATTATTGAAGATCAAAATCAAATCTAAAATAATTCTTAATCGACCTGTTCCACATACGGCCAAGTAAGAAAGATTATTATTAGGTAGATCGGATGCACAATACAAAAACAAATCTTTTTATAAATTTATGTAATCATGAATTGGTCTTTGATATATCAGGTGAGTAGCATTTTTCTGCTATGATCCAAAAAAGGAGCAAGTCTAAGCATATAGTACACTATTCCCGGATACATTTTAAACCAATAGATATATTCCTAACAAAAGATTCCACTTTAATTTTATATATAAATAACGAAACGAAAAATATACGGTTTAGAAAATATAAAATTTTGAGACGAATTAATCTAGTTCTCCCCATTCTAAGAACTCGAGAAATGCACGGGGTATTTTCTTTGAGTTTATGTAACATTACATCAAAGTTATATATACTATTAGGGATTTTAAAGTTAATAATAATATCTTATAGGTCAATAATTTGCTCTTTGAGAATATTAAAAAATATGTCACGTGCGATTTTGATAATTTTTGGTGGTTAGCAACAGTACTCTGAAAGAAAGAATTGGGGCCATCTATTTTTCCCCCATATATCACCACCAACCTTCTTTCACCAAACAATTGTGGAAAAGGTATACCTGTCAATTAATATAATAATAATAGGAAACATTTATAGCATAAAGCTGTTTGCTTACATATCTCTATAGAACATCATATCGTTTATACTTATTTTTTTAAAAAAAAATATTATTATTTTATTACAAATTAAAAAATAAAAATTTGAGAAAATGAAACAGTTAAATATATAAGTAATTTCCTAGCAAGCTTCAGAACCTTAAAAATTCCTTTTCCAAATTATTTTACGTGATACATAGCGCATCGCCCTCTATCGTTGAATACACAACAGAGCTACGCTAGGTTTTCCTCATTTTCATCTAATTGGAATTGATTAATTTGGGGGGAAATAAAAATATGAGGAGCCCTCCACACGTTTGTGGGCAAGCAGCACGTACTTGTACGCACAACATTCCTAAGAAATGTTGTTAAAACGTCTATAGGCTTTAAGGAAAAGAGCGGGACCAAAAAAGAGCCTATACCCAAGAACTGTATTTAAATTTAACTACTTTAAAGGTGGGAGGTGGATAATTTATTTTAAAAAGTTTTACTGTATTAATGCTAGTTTATTTATTTTTTGAGGGAAATTAAAGAAGAATACTTTTAAAAAGGAATAAATCCACATAAGAATCAAAATAGAAAAGTAAGGAAAAGATGTGTGAACGAAGAGATCCCCAGGAACGTTTTCATCTCAAATATCTATCTTTGATGCGAAAGAGTTTTCTGATTGACCTCTTGCAATTATTAAGCTTTATAAATTGTTTCATGTTTACATTCAGCTCCATCACGTCTTTTATAGTTTTATAATACCATAACGATTTATATTTAGTATACTATTTCCCTTTGTGTGTGTATAGCCAGACAATAGCATCATGGCGAGGTTGTGATCGGAATTCCTTATTATATGGGCTAGGAACTGTATCCGACGTTTTTTTATAATATTTATAGGAGTGTGGCTAGATTTCCCCCAGAGGTTAGAGTTAGAGATGACTTTGGGGTAAAAAATACCATTAATCGTTCTCAGGCAATTAATGTTACAAAAAATAACTGTAAAATTAAATTTTCATAAGCAGAATTTTAAAGATTACAAAATGATATATGATTTATGACTATATAATACTTTTGAAAAAAAAGATGAATCACGATTTCTGTCATTTTAGACTACAAATTAAAGGCATATTTTTCTGTATTTGGTTGCTTGCGCTCTAAGATTTAAATTTTAACAACATTTAGATCATAAATAAGTATCATGCCAAGTTTCGTTCATTTAAAAAAAAGCAGGAATTTGTTATGGGGGGGGGGGGGTTAATTTTTAAAATTATTACATGAGTTATCTAAGAATATCTTAAGTTTCAGAAATTTATTAAAACTAGTGACTATAAAATAACAAATTCAAATTTAATGATAACATAAGACTGCTGATCGTAATGTAATGCTAAAATCAAATTTGAAGTGATTGGTGGCCATTTTTAGTATGGACTCACGTTTAGTGAAGGTCAACGGTCCGGTCCTATCGGTCTTAGACCGGGACCGATCTTTTTGTTGAGGACCGTGGTCCGGACTGGTCTTTTTATTTTTTACGGTCCGGACCGGTCTTTTATTAATATTTAAGTTTACTTTACTATTCTATTAATATAATTTTTTTGTATATTTTATTTAATGATATTTTTCTAGAGGAGTTATTTTAGATTTTGTTAATTTTTTTTTTACAATATGAAAACCATAAGTTTGTCCAAGAAACATTTTACTTATAGTCCTAATAAAAAACATAGAATATGTGTTCACTGTAATACCAAATTTAACATATCGTCAGCAACAAGTAACAAAATAAGTGTTTATAATTTTTTAAGCAATAAATTAATCAAAATAAGCAGTATTATTATTAAAATATTTTGGTTATTATTTATATATCTATTTTTTCTTAAGAAACTGTCTGAATAATTCATTGTCAAAATAATTTAACCTTATTCTTAATAAAATAATTAGGTACCTTAAGCAGACATGATAAAACATAAAATTTATACTTCTAATAATGAAAATATCTCAAAAACACAATCTACTCTTAATTTAAATATGCCCTCCACAAGTACAAAATCACTTTCTTCAATACCATTGGATAAATTCCAAACAGATCATATGAACCAACTAATTATAAAATAGATAATAATGGACTCTCTGCCAATGAAGACTATTGAAAGTTCAGGTCTTCATAATTTAATCAAATATTTAAACTCAACTGCTACAATTTGGTCAAAAGTTAAAAATTTTTATACAGCTAATTTTGAGAAACTAAGAAATTCTCTAAAAGATATTTTAAATAAAAATAATTCTTTAATAAGCTTTACCACAGATATGTGGAGCAATATAAATAAAATTTCAGTTATAGCCATTACTGCACACTATATTGATTCTTCTTTTACATTAAAAAATATTTTACTTGATATAAATCATATCCCATTTCCTCATACTTCTGAAGAAATATCCTTAGCTATAAAAGAAGTAATTGATGTATATCAATTGGAGGAGAATATACTGGCCTATACTACAGATAATGCCAATAACATCCTAAAAAGCATGGATATTTTGCAGAATATTTATAAGGAACAAAAATTTAAAGGCTTTAGATGCTGTGCCCATATTCTAAACCTAATATCTCAGGAAGGTTTATCATATATTACAACTATCCTAGAAAAGTGTAGAGACATAGCCTTTTCTATAAATAAATCACCGAAAATAAATCAAGCATATGTACAAATATGTGAAAATAAGGGTATTACAAAATTTAAAATCCCTTCTGATATCTCTATTAGATGGAATAGCTCCTATTTAATGATGAATACAATTTATGAGGTATTTACATTTTTATCCAATTATTTTTAAAAAATATTTAATTTTTAGAACATGGATGCTATAGAAGAAGTACTTTTTTTGAATTACAAAACAATTTAAAGGGGTTTTCTTCACTGAGTGTGATAAAGAAGACCTTAAAGAGGTAGATTTTCTAAGGCCCTTCTATAAAACCACACTTGATTTATCAGGATCCAAATATCCTACAGTTGGGATTTCCATGTTATATATGGAGAATATAAATAATGAAATTTTAAATAATATAAAAAAGGATAATAACAATACAAGATAAGAAATTCTTAATAACATGCTGGTTAAAATGCAGAA